AAATAGATGGGGAAACAGTGGAAACAGTGTCAGACTATTTTTTGGGGCTCCAAAATCACTGCAGATGGTGATTGCAGCCATGAAATTAAAAGACGCTTACTCCTTGCAAGGAAAGTTATGACCAACCTAGACAGCTTATTAAAAAACAGAGACATTACTTTGCCAACAAAGGTCCATCTAGTCAAGGCTACGGTTTTTCCAGTGGTCATGTATGGATGTGAGAGTTGGACTGTGAAGAAAGCAGAGCACCGAAAAATTGATGCTTTTGAACTATGGTGTTGGAGAAGACTCTTGAGATTCCCTTGGACTGCAAGGAGATCCAACCAGTCCATCCTAAAGGAGATTAGTCTTGGGTGTTCATTGGAAGGACTGATGCTAAAGCTGAAACTCCAATACTTTGGCTACCTCATGCGAAGAGCTGACTCATTGGAAAAGACCCTGATGCTGGGAGGGACTTAGGGGCAGAAGGAGAAGGGGACGACAGAGGATGAGATGGCTGGATGGCATCACCGATTCGATGGAAATGAGTTCGAGTAAACTCTGGGAGTTGGTGATGGACAGGGAGGCCTGGTGTGCTGTGATTCATGGGGTTGCAAAGAGTTGGACACGATTGAGCTATTGAACTGACTGACTGACACCAATACCACACTGGATTAGTATTGTTCATAAATCAGGCGGTAGGTTTACAGATGTTCATTTCATTATTATATCTGGTTAACGTCTATGTTACATATATTCTTTTATATACAGTCAGTATTACTTTAATTACTTGAAAACAAAGAATAGAAATGCGTCTTTCCTCTAGGAAGCCTTGATCCAGGAATTTGGATGTCATTAGATATACTTTATTTCTATTTCCTATTCTTATCCATGTTGACTTTACTTTCTCAGGCTGCCCGTCCTCCTAAGTGTGGAACTATGGCTGCAGGCTGATTTGAACTTATATTAATAGCTAATCATGTGACTAGGGTGAAACAGATTCTTCTCTGGCAGCTCCAGTTAAAAAATGCTGGGTAAGGCTGGATAAGTATTCCAATTGACTAGGCTTATACCAAATATAGTTACCTCTAGACTAATTCAAGGGGAATGGAATTCTGTGAATGGAATAGTTTGGTCATTTTCCCACTTGCAGTGAAGGGGAAAATGTCATTACTTGAAAAGCTAAGGAAGAATGTGGCGCACATAAAACAATCAGCTTCCACATGTGACAACTGCAATTCTGAGACAGCCTGATGGTATCAGATGCTGCTGTTACAGTAGCTTTTCTGTGGATAAATCTTAGAATAATCTGAAGTGTTATCTTGTATCTGCCTATCTTTTCTGTAGCAAAGAACCACTTTATGTTCAAGAATAAGCAGAGAAGTTAGGGGAGTACATGAATTAGAAATCTGCTTTATTTTCACGTTCAACATTTTGCAAGACAGCATCATTAGAAAATTTAATTAAAATTATTCACAACTTACAACATAAGACTGACCTCAGCATTTACCTCTTTAGCCCTTGACAATTTTTACATTTTTATTTTGTAACACTACAGATCCTTCTGTGAGACCTCTAAGAAACACAAGAAAGCAAAGATTAAAAAACAGTAACCTGAAATTCCTACTATCTAGAGATAACTATCATTAGGACTTGGTAGACTTTCTTTCACTGAATCTCCAGGCATACATACATGCATACATATCTGGATACAATTTTACACAATTGTTCAATCAGTCACTATGGAAAGAAAACCTGTTGAACATGAACATTTTATATTGCTGTCAAAATGTCTGCTCTCCAAAATAATTTAACTGGTATTTCTTGTTGTTGTTGTTAATAGGTAATGCTACCAATGAATTACATGAAGCAGAAGTGCATTATATTTCTCGAAGTTTCTGTAATTCTGAGATGAGCTATGGGGGTATAGTTCCTAACACTTCATTTTGTGCAGGTGATGAAGATGGAATTTTTGATTCTTGCAGGGTAAGACCAAATAATTTTCCTTAGCAATATTTTCTAAAGACATAAGGAAACATGAACAAGTCTTTGATCACTTTCTGGTGAAGTCTTAATTCTCAAGTCTAAATTATTTTTCTCCTTTTTAACTATTCCAACAATCCAAATCATCATGCTTGCCTGATTCTTTGGTTTCTACAATCACGATCAACCTTAAGAAATATTTGCCCTGAATCTTTTTTTTCATTACCACCTTTATTGAGATACAATTTACAATTCATCCATTTAAAGTATAAAACTCAGTGTGGGATTTTATATTTAGAGTAGTGCAACCATTACCATAATCTAATTTTTAGAATACTTTTGTAACCCCCCTCAAAAAAAAAAGAAAAACTCTTCCCACTAAGGCAACCATTAGTCTGTAGAGATCTGCCTATTCTGGAAATTTCCTATGAACAGGATCATTCAATTTGTGGTCTTTTGTTACTGGGTTCTTTTACTCAGCATAATGTTTTCAAGGTTCGTCTCCATTATAGCATGTATACCTTATTCACTTTATTGCCAAATAATATACCATGGTTTGGATATGACACATTTTATTCATCCATCCATTTGTAGATAGACATTTAAGCTATTTTTGCTTTTTTGGCTATTACAAATAACATGGTTATAAATATTTGTGTACATGTTTTTATGTGTATGTTTTTATTTCTCTTGGAAATTGCACCTAGGAGTGGAACTGCTGAGTTAATGCTTAACCTTTTGAAGAACTGTCAAACTGTATTCCAAAGTGCCTACACCATTTTACATTCTTATGCAACAATATGAGAGTTCTTCTGTTTTTTATTGGAATATAGCTGGTTTACAATGTTGTGTTAGTTTCAGGTACAGAGCAAAGTGAATCAGTTATATATATATATACGTATATTCACTTTTTCAAGGTTCTTTCCTCATTTAGGTCATTACAGAACACTGAGTAGAGTTCCCTGTGCTGTATAGCAGGTTCTTTAGTTATCTGCTTTAAATTTATTTTTTTAATCTGCTTTAAATTTAGTCATGTGTATATGTTAATCCCAATCTCCCAGTTTACCCCTCCCCATTTATCCCCTGCTAACCAAAACTTTGTTTTCTACATCTGTGACTCTAATTCTGTTTTGTAACCAAGTTCATTTGTACTCCTTTTTTTATATTTCACATATAAGCAATATCATATGTTTGTCTCTCTGTGTCTGACTTACTTCACTCAGTATGACAATCTCTAGGTTCATCCATGTCGCTGCAAATAGCATTACTTTTTTACTGGCTGAGTAATATTCCATTGTATATATGTATCACATATTCTTTATCCATTCCTCTGTTGATGAACACTTAGGTTGTTTCTGTGTCCTGACTATTATAAACAGTGATGCAATGAACGTTGCAGTACATGTAATCTTTTTGAAATATAGTTTTCTCTGGGTATATGCCCAGGAGTGGGATTGCTGAGTCATATGGTAGTTCTAGTTTTAGTTTTTAAAGTAACCTCTATACTGTTCTCCACAGTAGCTATACCAATTTATATTCCCACTAACAGTGTAGAAGGGTTCCTTTTTCTCCAGTATTTACTGTTTGTAGATTTTCTGACGATAGCCATTGTGACTGGTGTGAGGTGATACTTCATGGTGGTTTTGACTTGCATTTCTCTAACATTGATAATTAGTGACATTGCGCATCTTTTCATCTGCCTTTTGGCCATCTCAGCAATGTATCAGTTCAGTTCAGTCGTTTCCGGCTCTTTGCGACCCCATGGACTGCAGCACGCCAGGCCTCCCTGTCCATCACCAACTCCCGGAGTTTACTCAAACTCATGTCCATTGATTTGGTGATGCCATCCAGCCATGTCATCCTCTTTCATCCCCCTTCTCCTCCCACCTTCAATCTTTCCCAGCATCAGAGTCTTTTCAAATGAGTCAGTTCTTTGCATCAGGTGGCCAAAGCATTGGAGTTTCAGCTTCAGCATCGGTCCGTCCAATGAATATTCAGGACTGAGATGGACTGGTTGGAGCTCCCTGCAGTCCANTACTGCTGAAGCCTGGCTTGGAGAATTTTGAGCATTACTTTACTAGCGTGTGAGATGAGTGCAATTGTGTGGTAGTTTGAGCATTCTTTGGTATTGCCTTTGGGATTGGAATGAAAACTGACCTTTTCCAGTCCTGTGGCCACTGGCTGAGTTTTCCAAATTTGCTGGCATATTGAGTGCAGCACTTTCACAGCATCATCTTTTAGGATTTGAAATAGCTCAACTGGAATTCCATAACCTCCACTAGCTTTGTTCCTAGTGATGCTTCCTAAGGCCCACTTGATGTCACATTTCAGGATTCTGGCTCTAGGTGAGAGATCACACCATCGTGATTATCTGGGTTTCTAATTTCTCCACATCCTTGTCAGCACTTGTTATTGTCTATCTTTTTTTAAATACAACACAAAGAATTTTCAATATTGTATTAGTTTTGGGTGTACAGGAGATTGATTCAGTTATATGTGTATATTTTTCCAGATTATTTTCCATTATAGGTTATTACAAGATACCAAATATAGTCCCCTGTTCTATAGAGTAAATCCTTCTTGCTTATCTATTTTATGCATAGTAGTTTGCATCTGTGAATCCCATACTTCTAAATAATTTATTCCTCTCTCTATCCCTTTCCCCTCTGGTAATCATAAGTTTATTTTCTATGTCTGTGAGTTTGTTTCTGTCTTGTTTAACGATTTTTAAAAACAGTTTTATTTATTTTTGACTGTGCTGGGTCTTCATCGCTAGGCAGGCTTTAGCTGTGGTGAGTAGGAGCTGCTCTTTGTTGCACTGTGCAGGCTTCCCATTGTGGTGGCTTCTCGTTGCTCAGCAAGAGCTCTAGGCACGCAGGCTTCAGTAGCTGTGGCACACGGGCTCAGCACATGCGGTTCCTGGGCTCTAGGGCACAGGCTCAGTAGTTGTGGTACATGGGCTTAGTTGCTCCACAGCATGTGGGATCTTCCCTGACCCGGGATCACCCCATGTCTCCTGCATTGGCAAGCAGATTCTTTACCCCTGGGCCACCAGGGAAGGACCATCTTTGATTTTTTTTCTTTTTTTTTTTTTAATATTTACTTGGCTGCACTAGGTCTTAATTGTGGCACTCGGGATCTTCAATCTTCACTGCGGGATCTTTAGTTGTGCCAACTGAACTCTCAGATCTGGGAAGTGGGATCTAGTTCCCTGACCAGGGATTGAACTCAGGTCCCCTGGACTGGGAGCACAGACTCTTAGCCACTAGACCACCAGGGAAGTCCCATCGTGATTTTTCTATTTTTCTCACTTTTTGTTTTCGGCTGTACTGGGTCTTCTTTCTGCACATGGGCTTTCTCCAGTCGCAGCGAGAGGGGAATACTCTCTAGTTGCAGTGCACAGGCTTCTTATTGCAGCGGCTTCTCTTGTTGCAGAGCACAGGCTCTAGAGGGTGCAGGCTTCAGGAGTTGCAGCATGCACGCTCCAGAGCAGGGGCTCAGTAGTTGTCGCACCCAGGCTTAGTTGCCCTGCAACCTGTGAAATTTTCCAGAACCAGGGATCAAACCCATGTCCCCTGTATCAGCAGGTGGATTCTCAACCATTGGATCACCAGGGAATTCCCATCTTTGATTATTATTTTTTTTTTTTACAAAATCCAATTTATCTGTTTTTTGTTTTGTCCCTGTGCTTTTAAAATATTTCTTTATTCCTCTTTTTTCTTCACTGCTTCTAAATCTACCAGCACATCACTCCCAAACAGTGTCCCATGCTCTGATCTCTTCCTACTCATTTTGATTTCTGCTATTCAGGGTTTGTCTTTCCTGTATCCTTTTCCTTAAAAGTCTTACCGAGTAGAAGAATTCAATCTAATTTCTTTCAGAAGTGAAACATTCTCATTGTCAAAAAATAGTTTTTAATGCTTTCCTTATATAGAGAATTTGAAAACACCTTAGAAACATGATCCTTAAACTTTAAGCATTAAAACAGTTATCTCAGTGTCCTTATTGTTTTGAATGATTAATACTCTTCAGTAATGGTGCTTCAGTGTATGAACAGTCTAGTATAAACTATGACAGGGATTTGTCATTTGTAATACCATTAAATGTTAGCTGCTCAGTCATATAGACTCTGTGATCCCATGAACTGTGACCCACCAGGCTCCTCTGTCTATGGAATTCTCCAGGCAAGAGCACTAGAGTGGGTTGCCATGCCCTTCTCTCAGGGATCGAACCCCAGTCTCCTGCATTGTATGCTAGCTATTTATTCCTATGATCCCACACCAGTCAATGTCAACACTTAGAAAGATGCCGGGTCTCACAAGATGCCCATTCACTCCTGTCCTCTAGTTAGCAAACCACACACATACCTAAATGAATCCATTATATATCTTAGTTCTACCATTCCTACACAGGATTAATACAAGTATTCTAATAGGCAATATTTATAGTATTTTTCACAGCTCCTAAATTATATTCCTCCTGAGTAACTACACTAAAAAAAAATCCAAATAATTCGATTTATAGTATTTTGGTTCAAAACTATGCAGGTGGAAAGTTTATCCACCAGCTATAGGGTTCCTCAAAAATAACAGGCCAGCCTGAATACCTGTTTCAGCTGGAATATTAAACTGAAAATCTATGTATCTTTATAAGTTGGAAGTAAGTTAAAAATGTATATTTATATAAATATATGATTAATGTGATTAATTTATTCCAGATTTATTGTTGTTTAAGGACTACTGGAAGTAACTAATACTATTTTGTGACTTTTTTAATAGGGTGATAGTGGTGGACCATTAATGTGCTACCTACCAGAACGTAAACGATATTTTGTAATGGGAATTACCAGTTACGGATATGGCTGTGGTCGAAAAAATTTTCCTGGTGTCTATAGTGCACCATCCTTCAACCAAAAGTGGCTGACAGAGCAACTCTACCAGTCAAGCGATAAAGGCATATTTAATATAAATATTCTACTTGGACAGGTCCTTCTAGCCTTAGGTTCTGTTTTCTTACTTGCAACTCCATAAAAAAATTCTGAAGAATCTTTATTTTGCATCGTGTCCCTTTCCATGTTCTATATAATGAAAATCATTTATTCTTTTGACAAATAATTGCCCATTTTAGAGTTCTCATGTGAACATTTTTTGGAATAAAAGGATTGTGATGTATTAGATAAGTGATTACAAATTTGGCACTCAATCACATTCTTCCTTGATGTATCTTGTTATACTTTATAATCATAATTTTGCATTTGGAATATCTTCCTAGAATTGTATAAACAGCTAAATATATATTTTATGTATATAAATGTCAAATAATAAAGAGTTAATAATTAAAAGAAAAGTTGGTTTTTGTTAAATTAATAAAAACTTTTAAGTTAGGTTTTATTTTATTCAAAAACATTTGGTTGTATGATATATATTGTTTAAATTATCATCTGGTTTCTGACTCTCAAAGGATATTTGAAGAAGTAAGTATCTGCCTATTATTCAAATTCTAATTAGAACTATTTAATATTAATACTTCCTTTCTGATGCCAAGAGAGAATTGTGGTGCAAACACCTCCAAATACTTTACTTTTTATTTAGAAATGTATATTAAGACTTTTTTTTTGGCAAACATTATAACCTACTTTCTGGACGTTATTTTCTTGAAGCCCATGCTAAAAGTCTATATTCCTTGGGCTCTTGAATTAACTGTGAGGAGAGGTGACTGAGAAGCATGCTCAGAAAGGAAGAATACCAACTGGGGTTAAATTTATGATGACTAATCTATAACATGAATTATTGAAACAAAAAAGACAGGATTAGGATCTACTCACATCTCCCTTAAACTTTGGAGAACTCACACATAAAGGAGAAATAATTATTTTCTCATCCTTCCTTTTAACATTCAACCAGTTAAAACCATGTATTTTTGTTGTTTTGTTTTGCTTAGCTTTAACCTAATTTTAGGATTTAACTGAAAGTAAGCATGAGTTTCCCATCAATTAATTCCCTTGGGGATCATCAGCAGTTTAATGTTCAAGGGGTAGAAAATTTATTTTTTTATAGACATTTGAGCAACATTCAGGGGATACTGACTTTTCATTTTCAAAGGAGACCCTACTTTATCCATTGACAAGGTCTTATAAGGAATTAGTGGGTGATGCTTCTATAACAATCAGTATAATACATTAGTCATTTTCTGTTTATTCTACCTGACTATCATTCAGATTCACTTGATAAGCCCTGGATATTAATGTTAAAAAACTCTGCAAAATGTATTGACAGCACTGGAGGGAAAATCCTTGCTTTTCAATTCAAAGGTATGTCCTACTTACTGCTTAGGTCTGCCTATCTAATCAGGCAGCATCTATTATCTGCAACCTCTTATCTTTTTGCCCAGTTTAGTTCACTTATTTCAGCCAATCAGAATTCAGTTATATAACATTTCTCTCCACCACAAGAGACTATTATAGGACAGATTTTGGAACCCAAGACAGACTTTGTTTCAAACTTCATTCTGTTAACTTAGTATTTGTAAGAGTTGGGACGATTATTGATACCTACTTGGCGCCAGTGTTATGATGATTAAACAAGTTGATTATACAAAGTTTTGATATACTGAAGGTGCTCAGTTCCTATTATTATTATCCCAAGTAGCACTAGGGGTAAAGAACCCACCTGCCATTGCAGGAGATATAAGTGATGCAGGTTTGATCCCTGGGTTGGGAAGATCCCCTGGAGGAGGAAATGGCAACCCACTCCAGTATTCTTGCCCGCAGAATCCTGCGGACAGAGGAGCCTGGCAGGCTACTGCCCACATGGTCGCACAGTCAGACACGACTGATGCAATTTAGCACACACATGATTCATACAGTCTTTTATTATATAGATAGGTATATATATATATATATCAGATAGATACCTTATTTCTTTCAAAATCTGAAAAACTTACTAGAACAAAGGACTTCTTGTTCTATTACTTATAAACTCAAATTTTAAAGCATATTATTTTTAACATAAAAGAAGCAGACTCACAGATATAGTGGTTACCAGTTTGGGGTAAGGACAATATAGAGGTGGAGAGTGGGAGGTACAAACTACTGGGTATAAGATAGGTTCAAGGATGTACTGTACAACATAGGGAATACAGCCAATATTTCATAATGGAAAGTGGAAAGTTACCTTTAAAAACTATAAAATACGGCAGTTCCCTGGTGGTTCAGTGGTTAGGACTTGGTGCCATCACTGCTGTGGTCTGGATTCAATCCCTACCAGGGAACTAAGATCCCACAAGCTGTGTGGCGCAGCAAATAAAATATTTTATAAAATTAAAAAATTAAAGTATACTATTATAAATTTTATTTTTCCAATTCCCAAAATAGTCTATCCTCATATTATACTATCAAAATCTGAAGTACAGAAAATAAGTAGAGAAAAAATCATACATAGGCATACCATGCAAAGGCAGCTACCATAAGTTCTGCCTATTTCATTTATAAGGAGGATTTTTACAGACTCTTCTTAAGCATTATTTTATCCCAGCTATTTTAAAAATTTTCAGTCTAAAAGGCAAAAGATGAGTACTATGACTGTCCGCCTTTATTCACCAAACATTAAACTCTTGCCCTGTTTGCATATTCATTTTTTCTCTCTCCACACACACTATTTTTTTTTTTTTTTGGTTTAACAATCTGAAAGCAATTACTAGAACACATTATCTCCCAGGAATAAGAATCACAATACCATTATCCCACCAATGAAATTTAACAATGATTTATTAATACCATCTAATATATAGGGTCTATATTCCAATCTTCCTGTCTTAAAAATGTTTTTATAGTCTCTGCCCTACTCTAGGATATAATTCAAATTCCACACATTGCAGTGTCCTTTAATTTAAAATAGTTTCCTCTGACCTTATTTTATATTCTTTTTTGTCTTTCATAACAGTGATAAGAGTCCAAGTCAACTATCTTATAGAATCCTCTGCATTCAGGCTCACCACAGGGATGGGGATACTGGCAGCAGCAGTCCTGGAAGATCCCCCTAGGCATAAGCCCTCTTGGAGGTCACCATTAACCTCACCATAGAGCCCACAGACCCCAGGCCTGGGTTGCTTCAGGCCAAACAACAGGAAGGGAGCAAAACCGCAGTTCAGTTCAGTTGCTCAGTCATGTCTGACTCTTTGTGTCCTCATGGACTGCAGCACGCCAGGCCTCCCTGTCCATCACCAACTTCCAGAGCTTGCTCAAACTCATGTCCATCCAGTCGGTGATGCCATCCAACCATCTCATCCGCTATGTCATCCCCCTCTCCTCCTGCCTTCAATCTTTCCCAGCATTAGAGTCTTTTCTAAGGAGTCAGTGCTTTACATCAGGTGGTCAAAGTACTGGAGTTTCACCTTCAGCATCAGTCCTTTTAATGAGTATTCAGGACTGATTTCACTTAGGATTGACTCATTTGATCTCCTTGCAGTCCAAGGGACTCTCAAGAGTCTTCTCCAACACCACAGTTCAAAAGCATCAATTCTTTGGCACTCAGCTTTCTTTATAGTCCAACTCTCACATCCATACATGACTACTGGAAAAA